TCTGTTCAATTTATGAACTGTGGATTACCGTGAGTTCCCAGGTATCCCTTGGGTCTCTTCAGCTTATCCAGAAGCCAGGAATTGGACTGTCAATACAAATGGAAGAAGCATTGTCCAGTCACTCTCCAGGTTGACTGGACACACTAGGGAAATAGAAGGATAAGACTCAAAGGGAAGACTGGCAGAAGAACCCCCAAACTCAAAGACTCATGAGTCAAGCAAGTGGGTTAGCAGGAGCTCTGGTGGGTAGGAGTCCCTGGGAAGTTTTCTCAGAAGCTGCCACCTCTGCAAGAGGCACCTGCCAGGCTCCCAAGCCCTAGCCCCCAAGGATTCTTACCAAAAGTCAGTATTTTATATTCAGAGAACTAATATGTTTGCAGCTATCCTCTGGTTTCCCTGTCTGTCTCTCAGCACAGTGCCCCTCTTTATCAAGAACAGCTACAAACCAGCTATAGGGGGTCAGGTTGCAGCTGATGCCAGATCCATTTCCACACATGCCAGGCTGAGAGTCTCCTGCCTAGGAAAAGGGGCCTCTAGTTTTCTTAGCTCCCTTCCTCCCTGCCCCTTCTACAAGACATAGACCCTTCTATATGTTCCATGTACTACCGTCCTATCAGCTCTTGCCATGGGGTCTTCCCTAGGCAGACTAGGGGAGTAGTTGCCTAATGATGGATGGAGGGCTGGCTACTCAGAACAGAAAGCCAGCAATGTCTCCTAGCCAAGTGCCCAAGAGTGCAGGTGCCTGTGGCAATGGCAGCTGTTCACAGCAGTGCAGCTTCTCCCAGAAGCAGTGCTGGGTGCTCTAGGATGTGCTTCTCATCTATCTAAAGGGTTAGCTAGGCTCCTCCTGACATTCTTGGCTCTGTACAGCAAGAGAAAGGACTTCCTAGGCTGTGAGGCAGGCCAGAGAAGACTAGGGTAGCTCCCCAAGGTAGCCTAACCTTCTCCAGACCTCTGGGGAAGCATACAAGCTAGAGTTGAAGGGGTATACACAGAAGCTAGCCTCTCTCTCTCTAGGATAGCCTGGATCACACACAGATGTGTTGACAATGATGAGCTCTGTCTCCCAAGCCCTGCATAAGGCTGCCACTGGTTCCTGAGGAGCTGAGACAGCTGTGTGATTGCCTCTTCAGGAGTCCTGGGGCCTCAGGAAATGCCTGTTCTTCCTTCCTGTCTCCCTCCTCGCCACTACCCTCCCCCTGCCTTTCCAGTCTCCTCCCAGGCATGGGAGGCCAGAGGGCAAGAGATTGCTGCTGCTGTTGCTGCTCTTTTCTGCTGGCCAGCAAGGACGTTCTGTTCCCAGCCTTGCTACAGCCAGCAGGGGTCCAGGTTGTTTCCTCCGAGAGCTGAGGCATAAGGAGAGGGAACTAAAAGAGGGAGAGGGGAAGGCTCAAAGACTGAGAGGTGCTGCCTGGACGGTCTGGGAGTTGCCCCCAAATTAGAGGGCCAGGCCGAGTGACTCAATGGGCCCTGGGCTGGACATGCAGTTATAGCTTATTGCAGACTGCAAACCACAGACACAAGGACCTTCCAGGCACAAAAACTGTATTTACGGAAGTTTTGCCCTGACCTACCCCCCAACTTTGAGGAAGAACCTCAAAGTGCACAGTGCACCTCTCTCCTTTCCCCCCATCCAGGAAGACAGATTGGCAAGTTTACTGCTCAGCCTCCCACCTAAGCCTAGGGCACATTTCCTAGGCTGTTACCTACACCCTCTGCAAGGCCAAGGCTCTCTCTGCCTGTCCTAGTCTACTCACTGTTGGTGACTCCTCCAGAAAGTCTTCCTGAGCCTCTCCTTGATGCTAGGTGTTATAGCCCTGTCGAGGCCAGAAACAAGAACACATACCTACCTCCTTGTGGAACTCAGCTATGTCCTAGGAAACCCCTAGTGTGGTGGTTCTCAACCTGTGGATTGGGACCCCTTTGGGGAGTTGAGTGACCCTTTCATAGGGGTCACCTAAGACCACCAGAAAACATTACAATTCATAACAGTAGAAAATTCCAGTTATGAAGCAGAAACAAAAATGATTTGGGGTCCCCACAATATGAGGAAGTGTATTAAAGGGTCGCAGCATTAGGGAGGTTGGGGAGCACTGCTCTAGGTCACGGCAGATCCATCTTGTGATTACTATCTCCAGGGTACTTGTCCCTACTGGTGCTCTTGGAGGCCTGGATAACAACTCCTAGAATGGTATAGACTCAGGTCAAGTGGTACCATATCCAACAAGGAATTTGCAGGCGGGTGCCTGGAGCAGTGAATAGATATTCTGTGAGGTTTCACCCTTAAAATAAAAACCTTGACTAGGCATGGCAGCATATGTCTCTAACTTCAGCACTCAGCAGGTGAAAGCAGAAGGTCTTTCTGGACTATGTAGTGAATTTGAGTTCAGCATGGACTACTGGAGACTATCTCAAAAGTCAAAACAAACCTGGCGGTGGTGGTGCACGCCTTTAATCCTAGCACTTGGGAGGCAGAGATAGGTGGATCTCTGTGAGTTCAAGGCCAGGACATGCTCCAAAACTACACAGAGGAACCCTGCCATGAAAATCCAAAAAAATCAAAACAAAATTAAAAAAAGGAAGATTGGTTGAGATATAATTATTGAGTGTAGTAATGGCCCACTCTTGTAATCTTAGCACTCAGGAAGCAGATACAGGAGGATCACCACAAGTTCAAGTTTACTTACTTTAAAAGAGATAAAAGACATATAGAACACTAAGCATACAGTTTAAATGAACAACTCAGCAGCTTCCGCTCAGTATGTTTAGAGCGCTCTTATCGTTTCAGTCTGAAGACTCAGAACTGCTGAGATGATTCAGTGAATCTAATAATCTGAGTTTGGTCTCTGGGACCCACATGATGTAGGCCGATAAACAACCCTCAGTGCTTGTTCTCTGATTTCTACTCAAATGTCATGATATGCACACCTATCCACCCACACACAAAATAAATCAAATGTAGTAATTGTTTAAGACCAAAAGACCTGTGTACTTGGCTGTCACTCCTCTATTCCTCCCATTCCCACCCATTTGCTGTTTCTCTGTCTCTATTGAGGAGCCTATTCTGGAGAGGCCAGATATATTGTGGCCTTTTGACGCTGGCTGCACTCACCAAGCAGAATGTTCCATATGTGCCTTGGACCTGCTTCAGCCTTTGCCACCTCTTTGCCCCTGGTCTCTGTGACATGTTTAGCCTGGATGGTAGGTCTCAGAGTCCAAATCCACTGGAGAGAGAGCCAAAGTTATCACGAAGTGGCTGTGGATAAAGAATCTGAGGCTCCATGAGATTCTGTGGCTTCCAGAATGTTACTCTGCCAATGGCCATGTATGTTTGAGTATGGCTAGAACAATCGCAAAGCCAGGGGCTGGGAATAGTTCAATGCAAGACCATTTGCTGGGTATGCACAAGACCCTGCTCCCGTCACGAGTATTGAAAAGACAAAAAGAAAAGAGAGAGAAAAAAGAAAAATCTGAAAGATATGAACCAAATGCGACTTGGTAAAGCACTCTGTAATCCTAGCATTCATAAGACAAAGACAGGAGGATCAGGAGTTCAAGACCAGTTTCACTTACATAGTCAGTTGAAGGCCAAATAGGGCTACATGAGATTCTCTCTCTCTCTCTCTCTCTCTCTCTCTCTCTCTCTCTATATATATATATATATATATATATATATATATATATATATATATGTACGTGTGTGTGTGTGTGTTAGGCAAAACCAACAGCCTCAGTCTGGGGGGGCGGGCCCTGTGTGCTCCCCAGTTTCCTGGTCTGGAACATAGAATCCAAAGGCGCCCACAGGCTCCCAACACATATCCAGCTTCTTCCATTTCTCTCCTTTCTGCAACAAGAGGAAGAGCATCTTGAAGGAAAAACACCACAGCTGGACACTGAGCTGATTCTGGCTCCAGGCAAAACACTTACTAGAACCTCTGTCCCCAGCTTGAAACCTGTAGTGTCCCTCACCCCTCACTCTGATCTCTAGCCAGTGGGCTTCTGCTTCCCTCCTTGTTTGCCCTTCCTTGCTCTTGGTCCTTCGCTCCTTCTTCAGATTTCAGTGGGGTTCCCTGATTCAATCTCTCATCACCTAAGGGCTCTTGCCTTTATATCTTGCAAGCTTCACTAGCAAAGGAGAATTAGATGCCACACTAGGGACCATGACTCATTTGGGCCCTCAAGAAGCAGCTGAGGCTTGGCAGGTTAGCCCAGTTATGCCCTAAAAGTGACCAGAGGAAATGCCCCTAGCAGAGACCATGGTTATGGTATCCTAGCCACCCTGTAGGGGTTGAGCAAGATGAGGGACTTGGTTCTTCTTCTCCAAATCAACTTTGCCAATTTCTCAAAGGCTTCAGGGAGGTGAGCCAAGAAGGTCTCCAGAATCTGGGGACAAATTCCTTTTTAAAGGAGGAAGGGATGGGGAGGAAAGGCTTACAGAGCCCCTAGGAGCCTGGATCAAGCCCTTCCAGAAGCCTACCATACACTACTCTCTGATCCCCAAACCACCCACTTATTTCAGACCAGGCAGAGTTCTGGGTAGAATTAGGACAGAATTCCAGGGCCTCTCACTGTCCTAGCCATAAGGCTACCTCCTTTCATCTCTCATTTTCTTCTGCCTGTCAGCATGCCAGCAAGCACCTCAGTGTCCCCATTTGGGCAGTGGAAAGTTTGACTCTGTGAGGCTGTCTGCCCAGAGACACCAAGGGTCTGTCCCTAAGTAAGTGAGTGTGTGTCCTTTCAAAGTGTGCTTGAGGCAGGGGCCAGAGTGGGGGGCATGAGGGGGAGGGGTGCAACACAGCCTAGCCGTCTACAAGAAAATTGCTTCCTTTGAAGCTGCCAGGGGGCCGGGAAGCCTGCCCCCTCCCTCCCAGCTGCCCTTCCTCCCTCCTTTTCTCCCTCTTAGCTCCACCAGCCCCCTCCCTCGTCTCCCTCTCCGCCCCCTCCCTGTTCGTCCCCTCCCTGTCGGCCCGCCCAGCCTTTAGCCTCCCTCCCACCGCCTCTGTCTCCCTCTCTCCACACGAACTGCCCAGGAGTGAGCAGCTGCTCCCGGTTGGCCCTGCCTGACGGACAGACACACCGACAGCCTGACATCTTAGCCCACCAACTAACCAGCCTGCACCTGGCTGCTTCCCCCTCCCCAGGTAGGGCCTGCTCAAGCCCCAAACTGACTCCACTCTCCCACAAAGACCCCAATCTGTCCTTGCTGTCTTCATTCCTGGCTATGCTGTCACCTCACTAACCCAGAGATGCCCCATAGCAGCCCTACTGCATCTGCTAGCTCAGTCTGGCGTCTGCTGTCCCACTGTCTGTACCTCCACTGCTCCCTCCACACCCCAGGGCACCCAACTAAGGCTCCTGGTTTGTGTTCTTTCCTAGATACCTTGTGGCCCCTTTGATCCTTATCCCATCTCTGCCTCTTCTCCCCACCCTCTTCCCTGAACTTTCTTCCCACTCTTCCTTTCCCTTTCCCCTCTGACCTTGCTTAGCTGATAAACTCATCCAGGCTTTCCCTCTCTTCCTTGGGGGGGGGGGGGGGGTAGGGAGTTTCCCCTTGGCTGCTGCCCAGGATATCACTGAGGCAGAGCTGGGTGACTGGCATGCTGGCTCTACCCACAGCCCTAGCCCTTCATGGCAAGGCCCAGGCACACCCTCCATGCCAGCTAGCCTTGCTCTCCCAGCTCAGCCTTCCTTGGGGGCTTGGCACATGGCCAAGTCAGGGAGGATGGAGCCAATGAAAAACTCAGCACTGGCACAGTTTCCCCTTGGACTCCCAGGCACCCCTCAGGCACCTTGCCCTGATATTCCATACTCACCACAGACTAATGCCCTGCCTCCACCCTCTTCTGGGCAAGGGATGGCTCCACCAGAGTCTCAGTGATAGGGGTCCTGGGTTGCCTGCCTGGTTACCTCAGTTCTATCTGTTTCCAGAACCCTCTTGAGCTAAGATGCACAATGGGCAGAGAATGGTATAGATGTAGAAAATTGGGCAACTGTGCCATGTTCCCAGGTACAAATATGGCTTAGGGCCCTGAGGGATCCGTCAAGAAAAGGAATCGAGAGAGAGAGAGAGAGAGAGAGAGAGAGAGAGAGAGAGTCATTTGGGAATTCACCAAGTCTAGTGAAGTTTGGGGGACTGGAGTGCCCTGTCACTACCCCAGGGGTGGGGTCAGGCTCCTATATGCCCAGAGTCAGAGGCACAGGACCCTGCAGGGAGGTGAGGCAGGCAGAGGAAATCTTCATTAAGTCAAGGACATAGCATCTGGGTGGCTCCAGTTTCCTCTTTAGTAGCTTCTGTCCAAGTTCCTTTGCCCTGCCAGCTTTTTGCCTTGTAATGACTGGGATTGAGACAAGCTGGAGATGCTTCTTCGATGCCAGCAAGGTTTCCAGGGACTGACATCTGGACTTGCAATCAGTTGCCCGTGCCACCCACACCCTAGGAGAACTTGTGGGTGGCAGAGGTACTTTGTGTGGAACAAGGCTGTGCGTGACTGCTGTATGGTTGCTGAAGGCCAAAGGGGATGAATCTTCAAAGGCAGGCGGTGCAGCTATACTGATGGGAGGATGGCGGTCTGCCTCTAAGCCACCAGGGTAAGGCAGCAGGAGGAGGCTCTGAGCCAGGGAGTGGACAGGGCTCCACAGCCAGCTGGCCACCTGGGTGTGGCAGCTGCGCCTCTCTGACCCACTCATACACTGGCCCACTTTCACTCCACAGGACTCCAGTCCAGTGCTGCTTCTGCACCCTGCCCGGAACAGGGGTCAAGGTCCTACTGCATGCAACGCGAATCTGGGACCAGCTAGTTTTAGGGGCCCAGAGGGGTGTGCCAGTCACTGACCATCATGTCAGATAAGTTGCTAGCGCTGGTTCAAATCTTTCTCCAGTCCCTCCCAAGCCCTAGGCTGCTGGAGGATTGGCAACATAGTGGGGTAGAAGGAGAAAGGACATTGTGGAGGTGAAAAGGAGCTTTCTTCAGCCACATTCTGTAGCCATCCCATGACAATGTGTGTATTCTTCCAGTCACAGTGTCAAGACCTCAGAGGAAGAATTTGTAATTAAGGCTATACTTGACAATTTGCACTAGGATCCCCCCTAGGTCACTCAATTCCTGTTACCCGGTGTTGAGGTGAAGTGGGGACTCCATTTTTGTCTCCCTCTTGCCTGGGCTCTCTCATCATGATCTTTCTCCTACTCTCCCTGGAGAAACGGAGTCCCATGAGTCTACCCAGAAGTCACTAGTCCTTAGACAGGATTCTCAGCATGCCTCCCCCATGAGGCAGCAATACTGAGAGCCCCTAATACTCCAACTACTGGAACTTCTCAGCTTCATCAATCCCCCACAACACCCCCCTGACTCCCTCCACATCCACCATGACTCCCTCCGGCTCCTCCTCCTTTGTCCCTGATCTAAAATGCCATACTCATCTTCTAGTCTGGCCCCCACATGCCAATAGTCCAAGCAGCAGGCCCACCCCATTGTAAGGAGGCCAATTGGTTGTAGGGAGACACCCCAACACAGGACCTCCCTCATGCCAAGAAGTAGGGGAGCAGTGTGAATGAATGTTCCCGGATACCTAGTCATAGATAGACCAAAGATTTCAGGGCAGGTCCAGTCCCCCTAAAAGGCAAACTAACCAGGGGACTCCTGCTTTGGCCCTGCCCACTGAATTCTGGGGCAATTGGCATTGTTTCTCACCCCTTCCTCACCCCAGGAGACTCCCATTCCTTTGTGCTCAGGCACACTGGGATGGGGAAGGCCAGCAGCATCACATATTACACCTGGACCACCCACAGAGTCCTTTCTGCAAATCTCACAGGGTGGGGGTGTGGCTCACGGAAGAGAGAGTGTGGTTCACACTTGTCCCACCTAAGACCATCCTCCAGCCTTCCAGAAACAACAGATTCAGGCGTTTTCAGAGGGAGGCTAGGGTTTGCTGGGCTAAATCCTCTGGTTCTTGAGAGCCAGGCTTTGTCTTCTGCCCTCTTCCAGGCCATTAAGTCCCTTACCCCACTTTTATATCCCTCAGTCAAAGACGCCTCAGATAAATGCGGGACTCCAGGGGTGTTTCTTCACTCTAATTACCTTCTTCCCTGATTCCAAGTCCAGAAAGCCCCAGGTGTGGCCTTTCCATGGGCTTTAGTGGCTGAAAATCAAGAGGTCTTTCGCAGCTGACTGCATAAGGCTGGGAACCTCAGGCAGAGCTCCTGGCAACCTGGTATTGGGGAGAGAGTTCAGAAACCCCAAGACATGAGAAGAAAGGGGACTTTCTGGGATCTGGAATGTGTTGCCTTGCTACTCTCTCCAGGAGCAGGGATCAGAATGGTCAGGTAGACAGACACAGTAACCTCTCAGCCTGACTCTTACCTCACTGTGAGGCTGTGGGAAAGAGTTTGGGACAAATTCTCTTAGCCTCACTTACTAGGTGCCTATCAAATGTTAAAAGCATTCTGGTCACCAGGGGCTGGGTAGGTAAAGAAAGCACTTGAGTCTCCTCTTCCACCATTGAGAAGTGATGGCATCCTTCTCTCCTTTGAAAACTCTAGGAGCCCAGACTTTGTTACTAAATGGGAGAAGGTGGGTGGACACATGGGTCAGGTGCAAAGGGACCCGGAAATGTAATACCTCTCAGTAGAGCATGAGCAAGCAATAGAAAGCTCTCCCTCAATGCACTCACCACCTCTCTATACATACTCCAGGGACTTCTGACTCCTGAATTCAGGTACAGCCCACCCCAAGTCTGTTGGAGAGCTGTATCTGACTGCCCAGATACTCTGCCAGTACCAGGGCCACAGGTGGTAAGATGTGGCCCTGACCAGCTTGACTTGGACTCTGCTCACCTTAGGGCATACAGGAAAGAAAGCACACATCCCATCCCTCTGGTTGACACTTAAATGTTAGGCTGGAGCTAGGTGGCCTTAGAGGGCATCAAGAAGCAGGTCAGGTGTCAGCTCACCTTTGATGATCAGAGGAAGGCAAAACAGTGCCTAGTGTCTCCTGTCTCTTACACATTTCCCCACCTGCACAGTCCCAGGAGCCCAGCAGAACTTAGTAGAAGACAGCACCTTCCAGTTGACGTAGGGTTACTCAGCAGGGCCCAGTCCCCCAGAAGAAGGCTGCTGAAACTGTACTTGGTGTCTGCTCCTTGGCAGCTGCCAGCCCCACATCTGCAGGCAAACTCCCATAGCCTGCCAGACCTCAAGCCTTGCCCCTGCCGCCCTTGGCCTGGCCTGAATGCCTGGCACAGCCCTTCCATGTTCTCAGAGACTGCCAGCATGTCTTGCTTGGCTGTGGCCAGGAGCAATCCTGAGTGGAGAACTACACTGGCTTTCAGAGGGACAGACAAGGAGGGCCCTATTGGGGTGGCGACACAGGCTCCAGGAAGCCCGTCCCCTTCCCTTGTTCGCACTTGCCCTTGCCAAGCTCAGCTCACCATGGTGATGACTTCTTTCCTTTGCTCTGATGAGCTAGCGCTCAGCTAGATCAGAGCTCACTTTGATGGAGCAGAAGCTCAGCCGAAGAGGCCCATGAAGGGAGACTGAGGCCTGGAAGCCCCCGTGGCAGAAGAAAGTGGGATTGGAGTAACTTTCTATAGGTTTTACAGAGTCTGCCCACAGAAGATCCCTTCCTGACTACAACTTTGCCTGCCTCCTCAGTGTATGGAGATGAAGGCTCAGTTTGAGGGAGCTGAGGAAGGGAGGCATGTGAGACTCTCTGTAGCACCCCACTGTCACTATAATCCCACTTAGTGATTTAGTGACTCTCCCACCCATCCTGGGTCTCTGCATTACCCATGTATAGGCCCAGTGTTTCCCAGAAGCTACCCTCATTCGTGGATGAAAAGCAGGACTGAAAGCTCAGACCCTAGAGTGACCAAAGCTGTACTCTCTGTTCAGGCTGAGTAAACAGGGGACTTGGGAGCAATCAGTTCTCTCATCCATAAAGTGGTACTATTGGCGGTGCAGACCTACCCTCTGTACTCTCTTAATTTAATGGATCCCCTTCTCTGGCTCTGTGTCTGGCACACCCCCTTCCCTGAAGAATATGGGAAATGAATCTAGTGTCAGTTTTTGAGTGAAAATGAGGGCTGTGCAAGGAAGCCTGCCTGGTACCCACCTCATAAGCCTTGAGCCCTGAAAAAAAAAAAATCAGCATCCTGCCTCTGTACGGTCCTTGAGCCTCCTACACCAGGATAAGCCTGGACTGGAACTCACAACAGCCTGGGATCCCCCTGTCTCATCCTCCTAGCCCTTTGTGGATCCCCACACCAATGCCCCTTCAAATCTAGTCATATAAACCCACCTAGGGTTCTGTAGCTCCTTTCTCTTGGTGGAGCCAGCTTTTAATCCGAACAGGCTGCAGTGCCTACAGAGGAACATTGCACCCTGAGTGTCTGTGAACCACACAAGGTGTCTCAGGAGATTCCTGCCTAGGGAAGGGGTGCCCTGTGGAGATCTCCAGGCCACTCTAGTTCCAAAGAACCTGGGTTTGTTCCAAAAAGATGGCGCTCTGTCCAACTGCATCCCCTATCTATGCCACCTCCCCTGATTCCTGGCCTGTACAGGAGGATTGTGGGTCCTGCAGCTCAGGTGGGTATAAAGTCTAGCCTTGACTCATCTTTCTGCAGGATAGTTTTGGCAGAGGGGACAGGCAGGTGGGTGGGGCAGTGCCTCACTCCTTCCCTGCCATTCCATCTTGCTCTCTGGCCTCCCTTCTGCCTCTTTTGCCTGCTCTGGGCTGCTCTTGCTCCTCCTCCCAGCCCTTCTGGTCCATCTGCCCTGGACAAGATCCCCGCCCTGTTCTAGAGGCCATGGGCTGAAAGATGACAGATCTTTCTAGCTACTCTGGGGTCAAGACCTTCTGGGGAATCTCCTGTGTCTTGCTAGGCCAGGCTTGGATGGGCATCTTGAGGCTACTTGGAAGGAATGAGGGAAGACGGACACTCACCAAGCTGAGGACTTCTGCAGATAAAAAGGAAACTGAGCTGAGCCTTTGCCTGTGGCCCCTACTTTGCTGTGTGATCTTTGGGTATCAGAAAGGCTGCTCTATTCTCTCCAGGAAGCAGCTCATCACTACCTATGTTGAGGCCCTTCTGTATACTGGTATAAGTTAGGAACCTGGGCAAGCCATGAGAACCACCGGGGTTGGGTTTCTGTGTGTGTGTGTGTGTGGGGTCTCCCTACTACACACACACACACACACACACACACACACACACAAATCTGGGATTTTTCAAGCAATAACATAGGGTAAGATTTCTTCTGGGGCTGACATTCACTAGATGGGCAGTGCTTGTGCATAACCAAAATGGGGTGTCCCAGCACCCCACCTCACTGCTGCTGAGGATTTCAAAATAGCAGGGAGTGCAGCCCCCTCATCAACTGGGCTCCTTCCACTTTTGCCTCCAGCAATTGAGATCAGAGGGGTTTAGTTAGCCCAGATGGAGCCCCAAATATCCCAGCTTTCCCACCAAAATGTGCCCCATACGAGGCCTCCTTGAGCTGGGGCTGCTCCAAGTCTTCAAGAGGCTGGGCTTCCTTTCCACACATGCACCAGGATAACCCCCAGACATCCAAGCCTGGGAGACTAGCAAGGCCAACATGGATCCCCTATTGAGAAAATGGGATGAACAGGTCAAAATACCCTGAGCCCTTGCTATGGAGTTGGGCAAGGAGTGGTAAGTGAGGCAGGGGCTCAGCCTTGTCCTACAGACTAGGCCATGCTTGCATAGTTAAATGCAGGAGGAAGAAACAGAAGATGTGGGTGCTGCAGGTTCAGGCAGCGCAGTCTCCACCCCCGCCCCACTGCCTCAGCCTGGGGGGCCTCTAGACAAGCCCAACCCTGCCCTGTTACTCTGGCAACAGCTTACCCTGATGCCAGGGCCATGGGCATAAAGAAAGCAGAGATAGACATGGGAGCCCCGAGTTCTGCAGACTGAGTCCTGGGAAATGAAAGGAAGGGAGCTGCCAAGTGCTGATCCCCTAATTCCCAGGACCTTTGCTTGGTGTTGCTACAGCATTAGAGAATCTCTCTGTCTCTGTCTCTCTCTGTGTGTGTCTCTCTCTCCCCTCCCCTCCCACCTCGTGTCTTGGCCTCTGAACCTTCTCAGAACAGCATGGGCACTGTGGAGAGGTTCAGACTGTGAAAGGATGACTCATTCATCGCCCACTTAAACTAAGAGCATCCAAATCTCCCAAGCTCACTCTCAGGAAAGATTGAGGCGGGGGGGGGGGGCAATAGCTGGGTTTCCTCTCAGCCTCCAGTTAGCCTCACTGACCTCTAGCCCTCAAGCAGTGAGGCAGGCTCTGGCTGACTCAATGGTGGTGGGGGCAACCTTGAGCTAAATGGGAAGACATTTCATTGCCCAATGAAACCAACTCATTCCAGTACTCCTACCTCAACTGGTGCTTCTTACCCATACCTCTTCCCTCTGCTGCCTCTTGTGACGGATAGAGGAACACAGTGCCAACACGTGGCCCTTCTCATGTTTTTTGCTCCCAGGAACATTCACCATGAGTCCCCTGTGGCTACTCACCTTGCTGCTGGCCCTCAGCCAGGCCCTGCCCTTTGAGCAGAAGGGCTTCTGGGACTTCACCCTGGACGATGGACTGCTCATGATGAATGATGAGGAGGCTTCAGGCTCAGACACGACCTCAGGTGTCCCTGACCTGGACTCTGTCACACCTACCTTCAGTGCCATGTGTCCTTTCGGCTGCCACTGCCACCTGCGGGTTGTTCAGTGCTCCGACTTGGGTGAGTCACTAGGCAGTTTAAGGTGAGAGTGTCCAGAGAGGTACCGGCCCTGCCTGGGAGCCCCTCCTAAAGAGGACACATGGGCTGTCCTGTGAGATGGGTATAGAATGGTAGGGGTGGGGATGCTATGAGTCACCACAGGCTGAGGTATTGTGGTATGAGTGTTTGTGGGTGTCCAGTGTCTGGCATGTGAAAAGCAAGTAGAATGCAAGCTTGGAGCTGGCACCCATTAGCTCAGAGTCTCTGCATTTGTACTAATGTCTCTGGGCGTACCCATATGCATGTGTGTGCCCAGCAGCTGTGGGCACCTTTACACCAGCTGTGACAGCAGACAGGATGAGCCAGGCTTATGCTGGTGATGATGCTGGTCCCCAGGTCTGAAGACTGTGCCCAAGGAAATCTCACCTGACACCACACTGCTAGACCTGCAGAACAACGACATCTCTGAGCTCCGCAAGGATGACTTCAAAGGCCTTCAGCACCTCTATGTAAACTTCCTTTTGCCCCCTGTCCTTTCTGAGGAGCTGGGGAGAGTTTGATGTTTCTCTAGCTGGGAGGAGGGATGCTCACAAATGGGACTTGGAAGAGGGACTGGGAACCAATGGAGCTGAGATAAGTCTGGCCCTGGCTGAGGTGGGAACACCCAAGACCATGGATTATGTGCACAGGCACAAGACAAAATTCCTCGGGTCAGTTCCCTTTTTGACTGAAAGCTTTGCATTTTACTGGCTCTTCTGAGCAACACAAAGAGAGTAGATTCTGTTGTTACTCTTGGAGAAACTGACTAGTAGACTGTGCTGGTCAGTAATGGCATTCCCAGGGCAGCTTGGAGCTAAACTTAACCTTAGTTCCTTGCCATGCACTCTGCTCACAAACACTGACCTCCAAGAAACCAAACAGGTTCAGATGCCTCTCAAGTGCTATCAGTAGTTAAGTTCAGGAGGCAGAAGAGGGAAGGTGGTGTCAGGGGTTGGGATACTCACCTTGGTCCCCTGTCCTGCCTCAGGCCCTGGTCCTGGTAAACAATAAGATCTCCAAGATCCATGAGAAGGCCTTTAGCCCTTTGCGGAAACTGCAGAAACTCTACATCTCCAAGAACCACCTGGTGGAGATTCCTCCCAACCTGCCCAGCTCCCTGGTAGAGCTACGCATCCATGACAATCGTATCCGCAAAGTGCCCAAGGGCGTGTTCAGCGGGCTCCGGAACATGAACTGCATTGGTGAGAGTCAGGCATAAAGGAGCCGGGTAGAGGAGATCCCTTCCAGCCAGGGCAGTTGGGTCCTGGACTGTCCTGTACTAGTGGGAAAGCCCTGTATGCCTCAGAATGTTCCAAAAGCTTGATTCAGGGCACAATGAAGGACACTGGGGTGGGTTTAAAGACTCAGGTAAAGAAAGAGTCTCAAAAGTAGTCTAAAAGAAGATTATTATGCTTCTTGACAAAAGCCCAGTTTGCATAATCATTGTGGGTAAAGGGATGGTATAGGACGCAGGAAGATCAGGCTAATAGAAAGAATGGAGAAGGGCAGCAGACCACCATAGCAGCAGAAATTGGAAGCCCTGACTTTCTGGAAGTTCTGACTTTTTCTCTACCTCTCCTATCTAATACTTTCCTATGCCTATCTGATACTTTCCTATTGCTTCCCAACTCCCAGAGGCCAAGAACAGTGCCAGATCTTTGAACTAGTCATCTTGAACAGATGGAGTTTTCAGTTAGTTAGCAGGGCAAATTCTTAGACTGCTTTCTAGAGGAGGTAGGAAGAGTCAGCAACCAGCAGCTCCCCAGCCCAGAAAAGAATGGTGTGTGGGGTGCCACTGATTGGCTCCAGGCTGACAGGACTTCTCTCCTAGAGATGGGTGGGAATCCCCTGGAGAACAGCGGTTTTGAACCAGGAGCCTTTGATGGCCTGAAGCTCAACTACCTGCGCATCTCAGAGGCCAAGCTCACTGGCATCCCCAAAGGTAGGAGAGTGTCAGTGCCCTACCTCCAGGAGCATTGAAGGGGGTTTGTCCAGTATACTGGATCAGGGCTGCCCTCCTGGAGCAGAGTGGGATTTCTTTCTACCTGCTCCAGACTCTGCACTTACCTGCCAGCATGCTCTCTTCTGAATAGATCTCCCTGAGACCCTGAATGAACTTCACCTGGACCACAACAAAATCCAGGCTATCGAGTTGGAGGACCTACTTCGCTACTCCAAGCTGTACAGGTGAGGCTGGGACAGTCCTTGGGGGCTGCGGGGCTCCATCAGTAAATGGGGCAATTCATAGGGTGGCACCCAAGTCCCTGTGCTCTATTCCAGCGTCCTTCCTCCCCTCGAGCCTCTGATGACTTCTAATTTACTTCTCTTCAGGCTGGGCTTAGGCCACAACCAGATCCGAATGATTGAGAATGGGAGCCTGAGTTTTCTGCCCACCCTGCGGGAACTCCATTTGGACAACAATAAGCTGTCCCGGGTGCCTGCTGGCCTCCCAGACCTCAAACTCCTCCAGGTGAGAGCTGGCTCTCCCGGGCTGGGTGGGAGCAAGACACCAGCCTCTGAATTGCCTGCCTCCCCTGACCCCATTTTTTAAGGGACCCAGGGTAGAGAGCATAAGAGGATCTAGATTGCTCCCTGGGTCCCAGGTCCTCATTCAGACCCCACTGGAGTGGTGCCCACTCTCTGTTTGCACCGAGGCAGTACTAACTCCCATCTGTGGGATCTCTTGGGAAGGGGAGCCTCCCTCTTTGACTTAGCTTTCAGCCACATAGGCAAACTAGGTCTTTCCCAGCCCTGTTCTGGACCTCAATTTTATGTCAACTCCATTCCTGATAGAAAGCACATTCATCCTCCCCTGGGGCAGCACATGCCAGGCTGAGAGCACCCTCTACTGGCCAGTGACCTTACTACACCAGTGAGCTCCTAACCAAAGCACCATATCTCCTACATAGATAACCTATCAGGATCACTGTTTGCTTCCTACAGCAGCCTCATTCTACCAAACATAGCCCCCACCCCACGCATCGCAACTCACCTCTCGCTATACACCTCACCTGAGCCCCTCATCCTGGCCTGGGTTCAATCATACGCTAGTACTCTAATCACAACCAATTCCCGCTAACACACTCGGGTCATTGTTCTCTTCTGAATTGGGTGAAGCATCACCAACTGGCCATCAAAGGGTGAGCATGAAATGACACTAGGAAGTGACCGATGGAGTTAAATATGGAGGCAGGCCCTACCACTCTTACATCTGCCCTCCATCTTGCCTCCAGCCTATAACACCCACCCAGGCTGGGACAGAGTGGGAAAGGTGGTCTGTGGCCCTGGGCCCCGATGAAAATCCCCAGTCACATCCCCTCTGCCCCCAGGTGGTCTATCTGCACTCCAACAACATCACCAAGGTGGGCATCAACGACTTTTGCCCCATGGGCTTCGGAGTCAAGAGAGCCTACTATAACGGCATCAGCCTCTTCAACAACCCTGTGCCCTACTGGGAAGTGCAGCCAGCCACCTTCCGCTGCGTCACTGACCGCCTGGCCATCCAGTTTGGAAATTATAAGAAGTAGAGGCAGTAGTAGCCACAATGGTAGCCTTGGTGAGAGTCTCTGAGGAACATAACCAGATAGATGTTCCACAGGGGAAGGGGAAGCAAAGAAGCAAAGCCCCCTCACCACACACACACACACACACACACACACACACACACACACACCTTTGTTCCCCAACACTAACTCACTGCCCCAGCTCAGCCTCCCCCGGCTCCCAAGCCTGCATGTATGCACATGGCATGGCCCTCTCGCCCGTTCCCCTCAGCTTTTGAGATTTAACACTCACCTTCCATGTACACTCAAAGACTCCCTATAAATCTTTCTTCTTGTCCATTCTGACACCCAGCTGCCGGTGGCAGGAGGAGCTAGCAAGTGTGGACACAGAACACTACCACAGCTACTGTTCTCTCCAGACATGTGTTCCTCTTCTTCCTCATCAATGTCTGTCTTGGACCCTACCTGCTGCCCTTGCCCTCTGGTGATCCCGAGTTTACAACCTGTCCATCCCAGGCATTACCTGGCTCTACTAACTCCCAGATCAGTCCTTCTCTCCAGCCCTGCCATGCTTCCTTTTAGGGTAGTAGATATCTCCCCTGCCATCTCTGGACCCCGTTCATATCTCTCTAGCTCTGTATCTCTTTGCCTAGGTCTCTGTCTGTCTCTCTATTTCTGTCTCTCTCTCTCACACACACATACACACACACACACACACACACACACACACACACACACACACGCACACTGACCATCCCCTAGGCTGCTTTCTGCTTCATAGGTCTCTGACCAGGCCTTGCACAAACAAATCTGTGGGCAACTATCTCCGTGATTGCCCTGCGCAGCACTTGACCCCCAGCCCTGGAGGAGGCTGGAAAGTAGAGGCCCAGAATCCTGTCCATATTGTCCAGGAAGGGACCATACTCTGCTACCAAGATGAGGAGCAGGAAGCTTCATAGACCCTGAAGAGGCTCAGCAGGCCACCAGAGCCTCTAGAACCAGTTTGCATTGGCCCGTGCCTTCACCCCAAGATGGCTAGGTCCCTTCCCCTCACCCCTGGGTCCCTGCTGAGGTAGGGGCTGGTGAGCAGTTGCACCCAGTTGGAGGGCGTGCTGCTTCTGAGGTCGGTTGTCTTTCAATTAAAGAAACACTGTGCAATATGACTCGGTGCTACTTCTCTGGAACATCACTGGGCATCAAGAAGAGAACAGAGGTGAAACAAGGGACCTGCTCAGGCCACCTCCGAGGTTCTGCATTTCCACGCTCCCTTCCAGTCCTTGCCCTCAGAAGAAGGCCCTCCTTACCACAGGTCCAAAGATATAAAAGCACATACCAATTGACCAGACATAAGGCTGAGGTCTTGTCTGCTTTCCCGCTCCTTTCTTGGTCCTTCCATTGCTCCAGCTGTTCTTGATCTGAACCCAAAAAGCGGGCCACACCTGAGGTGATATCTGCCTTCCCGGTGTGGAGCATTTGTGAAGCACCTTCTGGCTATGGGATAACAAGCTAGGACCTACTCTCTTCAGAAGGGGAACTTCAATACTCCAGCAGATCCCTGTATGCCTGTCTAGATGGAATTAGGGGAACAGAGTAATTCCAGAGCCCTGTTGCAGTTTGAGTAGTGACTAGTACCTGTGCTGACACTAGGAAAGGGCAGAGGGGAGGAGCCCTTGGCATCAGGCAGTATACTGGTACAGCTACTTGGGCCAGTCTGGCTTGCCCTCCCATTCAGCACCCCACAGGTCCCTGAGAGCTGAGAACAGGCTGCAACTGGATCATGATGGAGGCTCTAGTTTGGGTTCAGGAAGGCAAACCCACTGGGAATACAAGCTGCCCTGAAAAGAAACAGAAGCCCCTGAGGGCTGAAGGGAGCCCATGCTAAGCACAAGGCCTCCTGCTCAGGTCATGGGAACTGGAGCTTCCCTATGCAGTGACAGCCAGACAGCAAAAATAGAGCAGCCAAGGCCAGAGTGAGTGACAGACCAGAAGGGGTTCACCCAGAGGCACTGTCTGTGATTTCTCACACACAGCCATACTCTTATGCCTGGCCTGGCAACCAAGGCACCAACTGTCCCCAGGTTTCTCCTTTTGGGGATGGGAGGCACCACTCAGTGTGGTGGCCCAGCGATAGAATGTCACCGAGCAGCATCATAGCACTATTCTGGGGCATGTGCTCCACAGCCTGGCAATCTCTGCTGAGCTGGGCAGACACAGGGCAAGGGCACTGGCCCAGGGCCAGGAGTCAGGGCCTCAGTCCAGTCCCTGTGCTGGTGGGAAGGAGGGGCAGACAGCAATGAGCCCTGGTAGAGACAGAAAGATGAAGTCCTCAGTGTGTTTCTCTGGGGTATGTTCTGGGGGCAGGATTCACCTCAACAGGTCCCACACTGCGTCGCTTTTCCCTTCCTGCCTCTCTCCCTGGCTATTCACCTTTTTTCTCATTTGACTTTCTCTCATTTCAGTAAAGTTTACAAAGCTATCCTCCGCAGATCTCAGATGAGAGGCCCAGTAGGGCACCACCAGCAGCTCAGGAGACAAGTGTTACATAAGTGTTAAGTTCAGAGAAAGGATTCCACAGACAGTTCCTCACTGTATAGACCAAAGGCTGTAAGGCCCCAGAGAGGAGCCCATGAAGCTGGGCTGTCATGGTTAAAGATGGACTCCATCTTCATAGCACTTGGTCTTGGTCACAGGGATAAATGCCTTTGCCTTGGGACTGGAGAGATGGCTCTGCAGTTATGAACATTTGCTGCTCATGCAGAGGACCCAGGTTTGGTTCCCAGAACACAGATTGGTATCTTACAAACAGGGGATCCAAATTCCTTCTTCTAGGCACCAAATGCCCTCTTGCATGGGCACCAGGCTTATGCATGGTGCACGTACATACACTTGAACACACACATACCCATAAGATAAAAATAAATAAATCTTCCATTATGTGTATTTAAATTCTTCAACCTCACTTTACTATTGAATACATTTCAAGTTACCAGATAATGATCTGAAAAAAATCACAATGAAACCAGGTACGGGGGTGCACTCTCTAATCCTAGCACTTGGGAGGCAGAGGTAAGAGAATAGGAAGTTCACGGCTGACCTTAGCTACATGTGACTCAGTCTAAAAAACCTACAATTGTATTAAAATAGGCCCTGGGACCCAGCAGTCCCTACCTCAATTTTCATTAGGTTGGAAAGTAGATTATATTCTGGGCATTGGCTTTGGTCATAGGTAGCCCCATGGTGGTGGATTATGCAGAGCATAGAAGACAAGTTCCAGCCCAATATTTGTTTGAGTATGAGTTCCTGGACTTTGGGACAAACTAAATGAGGAGTGAAAGGAAGAGTACATTGCAGAGTACTCATGACACCAAAGCAGTCCAATGTGCTGAATGGGGGACAATAGGGGCTGCGGGCACCAGAGCTACCAAAGGCAGTGGGCATGTTCATATGTGACTCCAAGCAAAGGCCAGCTGGGCAGCCATAAGACTGGCAAACACTCACGTGTGCACTTATGAACACACTGAGACAGAAATACATAGATACACACACAAGGATACAAGCTTACATGAATATGTGAAACATATGAACATACATGCACAGAAACACACATGCACACAGACACAAATTAACACATACACAAGTATACACAAATATATACACAAGCACATATGCACATACAAGTCTATGTATGAAGACAGAAGCACATGTACATAATCTACATAGAAACTCAAGCAAACACACATTAATGATACACAATGTAGACATATCTCCACAGGCATACCCATTCATGCACTGCATAGAGAGAAACACACAAATAGATACAAATAGATGAGCATGTAGAAGTACATGCACAGAGTACATAGGAATGTGTGCCATTAGAAACAGCTATTCTATGAACAAGGTAGCTGCCAAGGAGTGGCCTTGGCATGGGTCTAGGATAAGGAATTTTTCTGAGCACTAACTACAGGTCAGGTGCCTTCTGCATTCAGTGGGTCCCAGCTGGAGCCTAAGCCAAATCCACTGCTTAGGTTTAAACAAGTCAGATCTTGTAGAAGAGGCAGTTGGCCAGGTATCCTGGACCAGGGCCTAGATGGAAACAGGGCCCCTGGGGGGGGATCTCTCCTTGAAGGGATTGAGCAGAGGAGGTGAAGGACCTGGAGTGGGGGCCATAGGGCTGCTCTGAAAGTGTGGTTCCAGGCGCTTCCCATGGGTTCCAGGCTCTCCTATGCACTCTGGGATCTCTTGGGAAAACAAAGATCATAGGAAGAGGTAAAGATTCTATTCTGGATACATAAGGTAGAGCCCTTGTTTCCCTTGGGGACCCAGAGAATCCAAGGTAGCCTGGTGATGAAGGGCCCTGGTGCCCACTGCACAAGGAGCGACTAGGGAAGAGGGCAGTGCCCTAGATAGTGAGCTGTCCCTGCTCAAGAGAAGTGGTGTTCAAAGAGTCATTGTGTGCATATGTGTATGCAACCCACACACATATGCACACACATAAAACATAGCTGATCAGAGCTTTTCAAAAGTCCCAAGTGTGGGATCTATTGAGGCTAAGCAGGCTGGGAGGTGGCGGGTTATGCAGTGGACAATACTTTGAAAGATGATTCTCCTTGATAACTAAGTTGGGGTTTATATGAGGATCCTTGGACTTCTGTGACAATTATTGTGGCTGATGAAAAACAATATTATTTATTCTTTTATGGTTCAGGGGTCATGTTGGCAGGGTGGTACTTCCTGATAAGGTCGTGCCTCTTGCAGCTCCTGGTAACTCCTTGTCTTGTGGTTACTTCACTAAGCCTCTGTTGTTCACAGTCCCTTATTTCCATATGTGTTGGGAATTTCTCTCTGCTTGTCTTAGGATACTGTCATTGTACATGGGGCCTGCCTGAAGCACCAGAGAATATCTGCTCAGCTCACCATTCTTCACTTAGTCACATCTGCAATGACCCTAGTTTCAAATAAAGCCCGTTCCAGCAATGGCAATCAGCCAGGATGACTCTCTGGGTTCCTGTCAACGTGCTCCAGGGCTGCAGGTGAATACTGACCCTAGAACATTGGAGACGATCTGTGATGTTAGCCTGGGAAGAGTAGACATGAAAAGGGATGGATAGGTCAGTGTCTACCAAAGGGACCAGGGCCTCTGGACCTGACCAAGAAACTGCCATTCCAGAGGAGGTTGTGACAATCACACTAAGTGGCAGAAGTGAAGTTGAACAAGCAGGGGACATGACCTGGAGGCCAAAAGAAAGCAAGGTGGGTAGCCACAGGGTCCATAGAGTGGAGGTGGCTGGTAGTCGTGACAGAGCGGATTGAGGACTCAAGAAAATGAGAAGGGCTGGACATAAGGAGACCAGCCTGGAAGGTAGTCAGCTGACTGCTTCCTGCAAATTTCTAAGGCTAAGGTGAGATTGCCCAGGAGTAGCATGAAAAGCACAGGAGAGGACCGAGGTCCTGGAGTGGCAGATTCAGACACAGTGGGGGTAAGGGTAGGACCAAGAAGAAAGGAGGGAAAGGACAGGGAGGGAGCAGAGAGTCAGTCTAGTGGCTATCCCCATCATAGACATCTCTGGATCTGTCTCCCTAAGGATTTCCAATGTAGGGAACTGGGACAGGGCTTGGTGTAAGAAAGAACTTTCTAGCAAAGGACACTAACAACTAGATCCTCCCTCTTCTCACTCTGGACCCAGAGCCCTCAAGACTGGCACAGAAGGACAGTGATACCAGGGGTCTTCCCACATTGTGAAAGGCCACAAAGGGGACCTAGTCTGGTGATCTTGGGGAGGGAGGCCACGTTCCTGTGCTTGCAGCTCCTCTACCCTCATTTGCTAACTTTCTCTAGGTGATTTATCAAGACCCCCACAAGCCTCCACTTGTTTATGGAGAATGTGGGTGATAAAGAAGAGCAACTGGAAAGTGGCCAGATCTGGTGCCTGCAGCCCAGAGTTGCCCTTCAGGGAAGCTGGGGCTGCCTAGTCCCCCTGTTCTAGGCAATGGAAATCAGGAAGTGTACCGGGGACTCTGAAGTCCACCCAGTCCCTAAGGAACCAGCTGCTGATTCCAGGCATGCCCAAGTTCCAAGACAGCCATGGATCCTCCGGCAGAGCCAATGACACTGTGGTGGGGGTGGGGGGAGCTCTCACCTGGAGGATAGACAGAAGAAAGGGGAAATGGGGACAGTGTAGTGTGTGAGCAAACATGTGAACAGGAGCGTGAGGGAAAGTGAGTGAGCATTAATTAGTGTGGAAAGTAACTGTCTAAGTACTCATGTGTGAATACCCCCCCCCGTGAGTGTGTGTGTGTGTGTGTGTGTGTGTGTGTGTGTGTGTGTGTGAGAGAGAGAGAGAGAGAGATGATGATGATGATGATGATGATGATGATAAGTGACTTTGTGAATCAATAGGCATGTGTGGATGAATGAATGCAGTCTAGCTTATATGAGTGTGAGGAAATATGTGTAAGTGACCTTCTGTGAGTGTGAGTGAGCAAGTGCCATGTATGAGTGCATGAATGTAGGTACGGGTGAACATGTGAGTAGTGTTTAATGAGTGTGAGAGTACGGTGTGTGACTGAGCACATGTGTGAATTGCATGAGCTTGGGGGTGTGAGGGTGAACATGTGAAGATATGTGTTGGATGAATGAGGAGTGGGGTGAGCTTACAAATATGTATGTTGGGTGCTTGTGGTGTGGGTGAGCACTTGAATGTACATGTCATGTGGGGGGCTGAGCGTGAGCATATGAGTGTGCATGTTGGTGGATGTGGACTGAATGTGGGATGGCATGAGTATGTGAGTGTACATGTTGGCAGCTGTGGATGCCTGTAAATGACTGTATGTTTAGTGAACGTGGCTAGGTGTGAATGAGAGAGTGTATGTGTTGGGTGACTGTGGGATGGAGGCAAGCACCTGAGTGTACATGTGGGGTGAGTGTAGGAAGTGGTGAGCATGTGCATGCTGCTGAACGTGAGTGTGTTGGGTGAGTGTGGGTTGGGACGAGCACATGAGTATCCATTTTGGTGACTGTGGGATGATGTGAATGAGTAGAAATGTATGTTGGGTGAGTGTGTGCAAGTGAGCACACGAATGAGCATATGGGGGGAGTGTAAGTGAGCAAGTGAATGTGGACATTGGGTACAGGGTAGGTACGAATATGAGTGTTAGCACTGGCTGAGTGTGGAATGGCTGTGTAGTAAGCATGCTGGTGAGTGTGAAGCGGCTATGAATGTGTATGTGCTCATGTTGTGAGTGTGGGGTAGCTGTATGAATGTGTATGTGAGTGTGCAAGTAGTCTGCCTGTGCTGAGAAGTGTCAGTATTGGCCCTGGCTTTTCGACAGAACTAGATGCTTCCTGGGGGAGGGGCTGACTATAGGGGTGTGACCTTCCCTGGTTCCACCACAGCAGTGCCTTCCTGTGCTTTAGATACGTGTCTTACACAGTGGCAGCTCCTCAAAAACTGCTTTCTCTGAACTTCAGAACCAAGTCATTCCCCGTCAATGGTTCCCCCATATCCCTTATCCCAAAGATCTGAAGAATCACGGTCTGGCAGCCACTCCCTTTCAGCAGACACCATTGCATCCCCATCACCCAACTCTGCCTGGTATATAGGCTCCCTTGGTGCCCTGTGTGTTCAGGTTTCTCCCTCTCTTCAGCAGGTGGAGTGACCCCAAGGTTTGGCCCATAGCCTTCTCCTCAGCCCCTACACCTGTTCACAGACCAAAGCAAGGTAGGATCTAGGGTCAGCTTCTGCTGTCCCAGCCACTGGAAAGCTCAGTGCTACAAAGACCAGTGACAGGTGCAGCTCCCCTCTTTAGGTCCAGGGGCACAAAAGGGTGACTGCCCTCACTGGTGCGCATGGGTGTTAGGGGGTACATGTGGGTGTCTGCTCTAGGGTATCCCCTATATCTATGTTTAGGTGTCTACTTTATCCTGGAAAATGGTTGTTGCTTGATAACCTTTAGGGGTCACAGACTGAAAAAATCTGTTATAAGCTCTAGCTTCCCTCTGGGGAAATGTGTTTGAATGCCTGCACTCCCAACGCTTACCAGGCGGTTTCAGACAACCATCAACCACAGGATCCCACCAAGAGCCCGGAGACCCCAAGCTACAAATCAGCTCCAAACTCCAAGGGTAGAGGGTCTTGAGAGGTGCTGTCCAGTCATATGCGGGGGCTTTCTTCACCAGCAGCTTATCAGCCCCACTTTCCAACCACGCCCATCGCTATTCTGCCAGTGTCCTTGGAGGGCCATGCCAGGCTAGGAAGTGCTGGCATTCCCTCACATCCTGGGGACAGAAGGGCGCACACCGGGCGCAAGGCTCAGGAGCACCTTGTCCCCAGAGCCTGTTCGCCAGTGCACTGCCCCTCCATCCGCTCCTCCTCCTCCTCCTCCCCCTCTTCCTCCTCCTCTTCCTCCTCCTCCTCTTCTAGCACCATCACCACCACCAACACCACCAACACCACCTCCTCCTCCTCCTCCTCCTCCTCCTCCTCCTCCTCCTCCTCCTCCTCCTCCTCCACCACCACCACCACCACCACCACCACCACCACCATCCACCACCAGCACCAGCACCAACACCACCACCACCACCAACACCACCACTAACACCAACACCACCAACACCACCACCAGCTCCCTCCCTCCCCCACCCCTTCCTCCCTCCCTTCGTGCTTAGAGCTGCGGCTGGAGTTGAACGAGCGCACAGCGTCGCCGCCGCCTCTGGTGCGGAGCGTGGGGAGCACTCGGCCACAGCCCTCGCCTGCTGCGGAGGGTCCTGCTCCGCACTGCTGGTCAGGCCGCCGCGTGCCCGGGCCCTTCCGTCCTTGGAGCGGATTGTTGCCCGCCAGGCGCCCTCCCGCAGCAACAGCGACAGCCAGAGCAGAGGCCGCAGTGGCGGCTGTGTCCATGCCGGGGTAAGTGGTGCCCGGGGCGCACAGGCGGGCGCGGAAGGGGTGGGCGCGCTAGCAGGCGGGGGCGAGAGAGCGGCCCAGCAGGTGGCGCGGCTGCAGGTGGGGGGTACGCAGGATCCTGCCCCAAGGCACCTGATCCCTAAGGGCCTTGCCTGCCTGTCCTTGCTGCAGTATGGGTGCGCGTCACCCTGGGGCCTCAGAGCTGGCGGGCAGCGCCCCGCACCCGCACCCGCACCCTGCACCTAGAATCCCGCGCGTACGCGCATTTGTGTCTAGGGAACAAGGCCGCTGGGGGCTGCGGGCTGTGGGCTGGGGCTCCTGGCAGGCATAGCCAGGGGTGCCAGGCCTGGGCCAAGAGTCTAGCCCCTGCGCACACACCTTCCCAGGGCTTTGAGGCAACCCCTCCCCCTGCCTCCCCGCACTGTATCATCCTCCCCCTCACATGTTCCTACACTGTCCTCTGCACGCCCACATAGCTGCCCAGCTGACCCTGCCACTGGCATGGACAGTGCCACCCGCAAGTGGCGGAGGCACATTGAACAAGTCTTTTATCTCTGCCAACAGCTGCCTTCCTCTCCTCACCTGTGTGACCTTGGCCAGAGGGTTTCTGTGATGGGGAACCTCAGTGTTCTTGGGGTTGAAGGCTCCAGCTCTGCTATTCCAGGATGTGGAGCCACTGGCATCATCTCTGGAGCCCAGGAAGACATGCTCCTCTCTCTATGACCTGGTCTCCCTCTCCTGTGAGCCACTATTGGGCTTAGTGACTCAGCCAACAGAGAGAGGCAGAAGGCAGGGTCCGGGTTCAGGGTCTTGGTGCCTCACCTGGGCAGGACAGGCAGGCAGGAGCTCCCTGTCGGAGCTCTGGCCAAGGGCTCAGGGAAGGAAGGTATGGGAGTATGCAAGCGCATCTCCTTCACTCTCCTGCTGCAAGGTAGGCAGGGCCAGGATCTTCCCCTTCCCACTGAATGTTTGCCACTCCAAGACCAGACCCTGAAGGAGGCTACTACTTCTTTCACAGATGGGGCCTTGAGTTTCTGGCCTAAAGTGGGCTGCTACATAATCAAGTCTCCATCCCAGTCTCCCCTAGCTCTCTACAAGGGTTTTGGCCGCATCCTGCAGATACCACCTGCACATACACCCCCATCCATAGTTCTGGGATCTGAATCTCTACCCTTGCCCCTTCTATTATGTGACCATTTAAAGTAAAGGTTTGATTCTTAATCTACATGGGCTTCCCAGGTGCCTGGCACAGGCTTGACAGAGTGGGCACTTGGTTTTTGTGTGGCACATTCATGACCTTGATTCTGCTAGATCTACAGGCTCACTAATAAGATGAAAAGCTTTGATCTCTGTCCCCATTTCACAGACAAGATCGTTGAGGCTTCAGGAGGGGAGAGACTTATCAGTACACTGAAGGCATAGATGAAGGTCTCTTTGTTTTGTTTGGGCAGATAGCTGGGGATGCTTCTGTATATCTATGGGTTGTATGTATAAATAATGCCATATCACCCCCTTCCTGAGCTCCTCCTGCATCCACACATGGTTCTATGCAGGCTCCTGGATCCCCTGGTGGAGCCTTCCATCAACCGTATTTATGAACTGAAGTATTTACACCCACCACCACCACCCTCCCTCGACAAGGAAACCAAGATTCCCTGGTTTGGAGAGGGGACCTTGGAGGAGTGGTCTGTAAGGCTGTCAAGTTCCGTTGGGGCCCAGATTAGGCCTAGCAGAGGAGCCAAGAGTGAAGCTGACCCCTCAAGTCTGCACCAGGACAGCCAGTTGGTCAGTCGGAAGGAACTGGGCACTTGTGGTCCTGGGGCATTGATTGCCTGCCACTAGCTTTAAGGCAGGAGAAGGCCAAGGGCACAGGCAGTCTTGATCAGCTCCACCTGGTCCAATCCCAGCCCTGCCAGGTGGTTTGAGTGGAAGGCAGCCATGCTCTAGCACAGAGGAGGTGAGGCAGGCAGATGGGAGCAGGGCGGGCGTGGGAGGGGGTTCTGCACAGAGCCAGAAGGAGAGCCAGTCCTTGGGGAAGGGAGCCCCTGAAGCTGGGAGTATGTTTGGAAGAACGCCAGGCTCAACAGAGGGAATGCCACTATGAACCCCTGGGGGCAATCAGGGGCACCAGCAGCCTGTGGCAGACACCTATCTTGGTCTCTGATGACAGGGGCTCCAGGGTATAGTGCCTGCTCTATGCCTGATGGTTTCTGTGACCTTGGCTGAGTCTTTTTCCTTATCTAAATCTGAGGAACAGGGTGCACCTTGCAGGGCCTGCACTGACATTTCAAGATTCCTAGCTGGAGGTGCTAGGTTGAATCATTCGAGAGAGAAGAGATGGAAAGTTAGCCAGCAAGTGAACAAGTGAGCAAGAGAGAGAGGCCAGCCTGTGGATCACTGCACAATAGTCCAATCTGACCCAACCAGTCAGAAAGGCATCCAAAGTGGGCTGCAATGAGCTACCAAAGCCCCTCCACATATGGTTGCTATGAGATGAGCCTAGCTGGATTCTTAGAGTTAATGTAGCCAGGTCCAACTTCTTCCAGCCATTTTACCTTGATCGCCCACCACCTCTCAGAGCAAGTTGATGTACTGTATACCCTTCTGATTTTAAACTGGTGGAGCCTGTGATTCAGAAGTGATGGCTGTCTCCATCCCAGGTTACGAGCACATCAAATGGCAACGGGAACACTAACAATGGGAGTCACCTTGTGCCAGATACTGTTCTGAATGTTCCACAGACATCCTTTGTCCTGCCCTTCACTGAAATAATAACTGAATAAAGCAAGTGTTGTCCTTATCTGCAGTTGACACATTAACAGACTGAGGCCCAGAGAAGTTAAATAATTTCCTCAAGATCACACAGCCAGAGGATGGCAAAAACACCTGTTGTGATATCTCCAGAAGTTTCTTCCATTGTCTCTAGAAATATGTGTTGAACTTTACTAAAGGGAACACTGAGTGTTTGAGCGGACTATCTGGGGAACACTTCTGAGGTAGAGTACAGACTCTTAGAAACATTCTACAGCTCAGGAGCTGAGATATTGGTGTCCCCACCCATGTGCCCAGTGAGAGAAAAGGATAAAATTTCTACCCATACAAAGCACATGGAGAATGATTCACTTTCAATAAATTATCTATGTCATGCCTTCAGGGACACCCCTAAAAAAGAGCAGATAATGAATGGAGACCTGGACTGTGGAAAGTTCCCTCAAGACCCTCCAGGGCCACCTCTGACTTCAGAGTGTGCCCTAGCTGTACCCCAGACTGGCTATGAGAAATCAAGACCTGCAATGAACACATGGTTCCTCCTTGTCCCCTATCCATTTCCCAGCTCCTCACTGTAGCCTTACTCTCTGCCCTGGCTGGGCCAGTGTAAGCCAGGCCAACGGTGCCCAGCTGGGTAGCCCTCCCCTGCCGGGGTACCTTCTGTTGGGTGGGCAGTGCTGGTTCTCAGATGTAGTGGAATTTGGGCATCTGAGACCGTGCCAAGGTTGGAAAGGGAACAAGTCCAAGGTCACATGGCTGAGGAGATGACAAAACTGAACTAGATACATGGTTTAGGCAGATTCCCAGGGCTAGCAACTAGACTCTCTTGGAGCCCCAAAGCTTTTCGGAGACTTGTGCCCAAACCAAAGATATGTAAATGGGCGTTACTGTCATTTACCTCAAACTTTTCTTCTCCTTAAATATTTATTTCTTTTATTTTATGTGTATGTGTGTGTGCTTGAGTGTATATGTGTAGCATGTAAGTGCATACTACATACATGCAGGAGCCTGTGGAGTTGCGAAGGGGGCATCAGACCCTCCAGAACTAGAATTACAAGCAGTTGAGAAACCATCATGTAGGTGCTGGGAACCAAACCAGGTCCCCTGAAAGAGCAGGAAGTACTCTTAAGCCATCTCTCCAGCCTGAAGTGTGCCTTTTTCAAAGGGATCTCGAATTCACTGTTCTTGGTTCTCCCAGGAAATGGGCAGCCATTCCTTCAAATGAGTTCTTTCATGAACCACAGTCTTGAGACACTTTCTAAAGTGACATTATCTGATATGCCATTTATTATCCACAAGTAAGAATTTAATTTAATTAAAGCGAAATTACAAGTCCCCATCTTCGGTTGCACTGAATGTGTTAGTTACAAGTGTTTAGTAGCCATGCATGGCTGCTGGCTTCCCTATCGGATGAGGAGGTATAAATAAATGTTCCCATTGTTGTCCAAAGGTACCACCTCAGCTTGGATGCAGACCTAAGTCCTTACATGGCTCCTAAAGCTACTTGTACTACACTACCCTGTGGTATTCAAGCTACCAGTCCAACTATGGATCAAGATTTCCCAGAAAACCTCCCAGAAATGAAGTCCCCAGTGAGTTCTGGGCACTCATAAACATTTGAGGGAGTGTTCTTTGATTAGCTAGACTCTGATCGGAGGGTTTAACAACTGAGGATACAAGGTGCCAGGATGAATGTATTCTATTGTTGAGATGTGCCCAGCCATGCCAGGGGCCACATCTTATTGGTGTGATGGCCCTTAGGGACTCTGTTCCATAGTCATTCAACCGTATTTCTAGTGACCCTTGTGCCCTGTGTCTGCTTCTGTGAGAGCGGGGAGGAAAGCACAAGCGAATGAGCTTCACTGTGTTCATCAAAGATGCTGCTGCTACCAAAGCGCCCAGCTGGCTGGATCCAGCAGCTTCAGTGGAGGCTGTGAGGCTTTGAAGCCAGGTTGCATCTGTCACAGCACAGTCCCCAACTTTACCCCTGCCCTGCACATCCTGCCTAAGCAACTCAGACTTAGCTAAACAGCCTGAGCTCCAACTTCTCAGGAGCCACGCAGGGCTGGTGCTTGCTAGACTGGTCACAGGAACTAGAGACAATCTAGTCATTCCAGCATGCTCAACAAGGTCAACTCAAAGTCCCTACACAGACCCTGAAGCACTCTCTTCTGACTCCTTGAAAGGGAGTAATGGAGATAGATGTGGACATTCCAGGTCAGCTCATCCATTCC